GCTTCGCCATGGAGGCGGCGGTGCCCCGGGGCGGGCCGACGAGCCGCCTCTTCGCGCGGCCCGCGCGCGCGGACGCGGCCGCCGTGAGCCGCCGCCTCGCGGCCGCGGCGTCCGGCGACGACGACGAGCTCACCTTCGCGCCCGCGCTGTCGAAGCGCGCGGGCGCGAAGCTCGACCCGGCGCGGAAGCGCGTCGACCCGGCCAAGGTCGAGGAGCACCTGCTGACCTACGCGGCCAAGTACGCGAAGCAGCGCGAGGACCGCGAGAAGGCGCTCCGCGACGAGGAGGCCGCGCACTGCACCTTCATGCCCAAGGTGACGAAGAAGGCCGCCGCCTTCTCGGGGGACTACCCCCTCGTGCGCAAGTACGGCGGCGCGCCGAGCTCCGCGGCGCCGGACGCGGCGGACGCCTAGGTTTGTGGAATGAGGGGGGGACAGTTCGTGGGAACTTTAGTCTGTGGGAACTTTAGCCTGAGATTAAAGTTTAAAGCCTGAGTTCCCCCATCCTAATAAAAAATACGACCCCGATTTTCAAACTCAAGCAAAAAATTCGTCGCCTAACGTCATGAAGTCGACGTCTTGGTCGGGCAAGAGTTGGTTGGGCAAGAGCATGTGCTGGGGGGGGATCGCATCGACTTGCTGATTGAGCAAAAGATTCGCCTCGACATCCATCTGCGCCGCTAAGTTTTCTTGATTGGCAATCTCCTCGACGAGCCAGCGCCGAAAGATCCATGTACTTACATCGAAGGTGCCGCTACTGAACCCTTCGCGATGCCCTATGCATTGCTTCGCGTGTATGGAGCGATGTTTTTCTTTGGCTATGAGTTTCCCATCCTTGCGACCAGTGCAACCCATGGATGGCTTTGCCTGTAGGGAGACGGGTCCTCGCTGCGCGCTGAGGGCGCCGCGGTCGAGCGCGGCCGACGGACGCCGGCGCTCGCGTCGATGCCGACCTCGGCCAGCTCCGATCGGATGTCCGCCTCGATGGCCGCGTGCTCCGAGTTTCCCTCGAGCAGCCTGCGGCGCGTCCGGCTCGCCGCGGCGCGGCGCGGCTCGAAGCGCGTCCGGCTGGCCGCGGCGCGGCGCGGCTCGAAGCGCGCGCGTAGGTTCGGCCTCGACGCGCGTCGAGGAGGCAAGAGACGACGTGGCTTACAAGAACGTGAGCGAGTGGCTGGTGCAAGAAGCGTCGACGGCTGCGAGCGATAAAAGCGCGGTTGTGTGAGCGAGCTTGAACATGGTGCCGCGTGCCTATTTTTTCGCGGTGCATCCTTTGCGGGTTACAGCGGCGCGGCGGGCTGCGTCCAGGTGCAACAGGGATGGATCTAGGGGTCCTTCAAAGCGCTTTGCTGCCCGAAGCAAGGAGCTGAATACACCACGCGCGGATTCCAGTCGGATATTACAGCCGGAGTTTCAGTCATTCTTGTTGGCGAACCGCGAGCACAAGCTGTGGCAGATCAAACGGCGGCTGCCGCTGCCCAGACCAAATGTCGGCCGCTGGCAAGAAGCGCGCCGTAACGCAGTCCGAGGGGTCGGCCTGGAAGGGTGACTCGTCAGACGATGATGGCGACGCCGCGTCCCTGGGCCCAAGCCCCGACGACGTGTGCCTGTCGCAGACGGACAACGTGACGCCGGCGCGGGAGAAGAAGCGGCGGCGGAGCAGCGGCGCGGGCGTCGGCGGGGGCCCCGAGGCGTTGAAGAACGCGAAGACGATCCACGACCGCGTCTACGGCGCCGTGCCCGTGCCCGGGCTGCTCGTCGCGTTCCTCGACACGGACGAGTTCCAGCGCCTCGACTCCATCGGCCAGCTCGGCGGGTCCAAGTACGTCTTCCCCGGGGCGAAGCACTCGCGCAAGGAGCACAGCATCGGCACGTCCCACATGGCGCGGGCCATGGTCGACCACCTGCGGCGGCTCCAGCCCGAGCTCGGCATCGACGACGCCGATTGTCTGTGCGTGCAGCTCGCGGCGCTGTGCCACGACATCGGCCACGGGCCCTACAGCCACATGTGGGAGGCCTTCGTGCACGCGGCGACGGGCTCCGACGACTGGACCCACGAGAAGATGAGCGCGCGGCTCATCCGGCGGTGCGCGGGCAAAAACGCGATTCCGCTGGACCGCTACTTCCGCTGCTCCGCGGCGGACGCCGCGGCGCACCTCGCGTTCGTCTGCGCGCTCATCGAGGGCCTGCCCGACGCCGCGCCCTGGCCCGACGACCTGGGGCGGACCGAAGCGAAGCGGTTCCTCTTCGATATCGTGTCGAACAGCCGGTCGGGCATGGACGTCGACAAGCTGGACTATTTGCTCCGCGACGGGCTGAGCGCCTTCGGGGCGTCGAGTTCCTTCGACTGGAACCGCCTCATCCAGGCCTGCCGCGCCGTCGCGCCCAAGGGGAAGGCCGTGCGGCAGATCGCCTTCGAGGAGAAGGTC